CCCATTACGGGATTATGCCACTTGTACGAACACGATCCACTACCCTCTTCCCCTACCATGTCTATTTCACTTCACATCACCACGTGCCCCGCCGCTCCTCAAGCCCCGCACGTCGCCATTCCCTCCTCACTAGGTCACCCTTCGCGGTCAGCCTTCCTCCTAGTCGGTCTTCTCACTCAGTCACTCTTCACGATCGGCCCTCCTCCCAGTCGGTCTTCTCACTCGGTCACTCTTTGCGGTTGGCCCTCCGCCCAGGTGGCCTCCTCACTCGGTCACCCTTAGTGGTCGGCCCTTCTCCCAATCGGTCTTCTCACTCGATCACCCTTCGCGGTCGGTTTTCCTCCAAGGCGGCCTTCTCACTCGGTCACCCTTCGCGGTTGGCCCTCCTCCTAGTCGGTCTTCTCATTTGGTCACCCTTCACGGTCGGCCCTCCTCCCCGTCGAACTTCTCTTACTGGACCACCCACAAACCCCGTCTTCTTCTTTATTCCCTTCGTTGGACTGAAGCTGCACTTGGGAATGGGGGACTACTAACATAGCTGAGCCCATAGGGGGGCTTTTGGCCCACCACTTAGAGTCCAACGCATAATTCAAACACTAAAGCCCAACATTACTGGAACCCAACGTTGCACCAAGAACCAATGGCATCTAAACACTTGTCAAGAGAAGAACCAGCCATGTAAGCAGACAAAAATCCTGTAGAGTTATTGCACCACACATCAGCCATTAATGAGGTCCCCTGCAGCATTTAATGCGATAACCCCTTCACGTCGGAACAGAACAACCTCACTATGAACAAGGCAAGCTAGAGTATAGACTTTCGGCCAACATGGTAGGTCAGAGTGGACAAGGAAATGATGAACAAAGGATATAAGCAGGTTTCTAAGAAAAAAAGAAAGTTAAGTTCTTTATCATCATCGTATCTCTACATTCCATTAATCTCTCTTCTAACTTGCTCGTCGAAGGGTTCGCTGGGGGATTTCCGTTCCCCGTTGGACTTTTGTGCAGGTATCTCAATGAGCCCAACGACCGGACAACGGTGTGGGAGGCGTGGATCAACCCGACCCGTCCATCAGGGACTAGTAGTATCATTCATTTCAGTGATAAATTGACATATGTCGATTTGATATGAAAACTCTCAACTTGATACGTCAAATCTATTATTTTATTATTTTTAAAATTTGAGCTCTTTTATTTTACATGAAATTTTTTTATTTCCAAAAAATACATGAAGTGAGAGTATGTTAAAATTGATATGCAAGGGTGATCTCAAAAATCATCATGTCAACTAGGGATGGCAATTAGAACCCGACCTGACGGGGACCTGATCTCCCGACCCCGAATTGAGCGGTTATTCCCCGAAAAATACCCCGACGAGCCGGGGATGGTATTAAAAATTGAATCCCGATGATATTCGGGCCAGGGACGGGGATACATGTTTCAGCCCCAGACCCAGCCCGACCCCGTCCCCGTCCCCGTCCCCGATCCCCGCCCCCGGTTGCCCCCGATGTAAAATTACTATTTTGCCCCTTTTATATATAATATATGTGTGAGAGTGTGTAGGGTTTGGGCTGTTGGCAAACGCAGAACACCCACACACAAACATCTTCTCCCTCTCTCTCTCACACACACGGTCGTTCCTCACCACCTCTCCTTCACCGTTTTGGTCGGTAGCGGCTCCTCCCTCACCGTCGCTCCTCACCACAGCTCCTCCTCTGGCGGAACTCCCTCACTGCCCCGTTTTGGTCGGCAGCGGCTTCTTCTTCTCTCCCTCTTACACTATCATCTCTCTCTTATGGTATCTCCTCTTCTCTTTCTCTTTCTTTCTCTCTCTCTCTCTCTCTCTCCCTCCCTGGTTTGGTCGGCGACAGCTCCGCCCTCACCGTCGTTCCTCACCGCAGCTCCTCCTCTCACTGTATCTCCTTGTCTCTCTCTCTCTCACGGTATCTTCTCCTCTTTCTCTCTCTGTTTTTTTATTTTGTTCTCTGTTTTTTTATTTTGTTCTTCACATCTGAAAATGATGAAGATGAAGATGAACATGTTGATCTGTGTTAGATTTTTTGATTTGTTTGTTGATGAAGATCAAGAAAATGAAATCTGTTGTTGAAAATTTCTCTCTCTCTCTCTGATTTGTTGTTGATCTGTTGTAAAATAATAATCTATTGTAAATGTGTTAATGAAGATCAAGAAAATGTGTAGATTTGTTAGATTTGTTGTTGATGAATTCTTGTAAATGTGTAGAGTTGATTTTTTTTTTTTAATTTTTTGGTCGGGGAATTTCGGGGACGGGAACGGGGACGAGGACGGGGGTATTTTCACCATCGGGGATCGGGGACAGGGAGTGTGATCCCCGGCCCTGCCCCGCCCCGTTGTCATTCCTAATGTCAACTTTTGACCCACCAATTCACTCTTATAGCTAAAATTAAGTCGTTGGATTACTACATTAGAGTTGGTTTATTGAGAGTGGAGCTGTTCTTACATAGTAAAAACCAAATGTCGGATGCAAATATAGTCATTGTAACATTATTTAACAAAGAAATGCACAAAATATATTATATGATCAAAATTCATTCCAGGTGGAGGTGTAGTGTAAGTCATATTAAAAAATGCATATAGATATATAAGATTTAAAAAGAAAAAAAAAATTATTTCCCTTTACAATTTTTGTAAATTTATATTTATTTATATATTTTGATTTTTTTAACTTTTCTGATATATTTATTTATATATTTTGATTTTTTTAACTTTTCTGAGCCACACATTTTCTTTATTTTTTTACATATTTTTTTTATAAAAAAAAAGTTAAAAAAATTAATTTTTAACTAACTTCTCGAAATTAGTCTTTATATTCTATGGCAAGTTTTTGCTTGGCAAAGTTTGGCCAAAAAATTTAAAAAAGAAAAAGAGAAAGAAGCATCAAATATTCAGGTGTTGTTTGGTAACACTTACGTTTTCAGTTTTCTGTTTATATTTACAAAAAATTTAAAAACTCAAATAAAAACTTATTTGGTAAAATTTTTGATTTATAAATCAGTGATTTCAGTTTAAAAATTTAGCGAAAAAAAAAAACACAAAAAATGTGTTTCCGTTTTGAGTTTTGAGTTTTTTTTTTTTTAGCACTCAACACTAGCCACCACCCGCCACATTTCCACCACTGTTTTCCGCCACCAAAACCCACCCCCCACCACACTACCGCCCACCCACCCACCTGACACACCATCTACCAGTCACCACTCACCTGCTATCCACTCGCCACAACACCCACCATCGTCGCCACTACCACCACCACTACCACACCTACCACCCGACTACCATCCACCGCCGCTACCATCACCCGCCAACTACTTGCACCACCACCGCCCCATCTACCACCACTACCACCACCACCTACTCGCTACCATCTACCACCTGCCACCGTCACCCATCCACCCACCACCACCCCCACCTACTTGCCACACCACACACCACCGCGCATCCGCCACCACTGCACGACCAAACCACCACTTGCACCACCACATCACCAACCGCTCTGCCTGCACCACCACCAGAACCCCACTTTGCTACCCCACCACCCCACCACCATCACCACCCAACCGTCACTTACCACCACCATCACCACACCACACCACCCACCCGCCACGCCACCACACACCACCACCACCCCACGCGTCGCAACGTCAACCACCCACCCCAGCACCACACCCGCCACCACTACCCACCGACCACTCATCCACTCATTACCACCACCACCCGCCACCGTCACCATCATCCACCACAACACCCGCACGACCGCATGTCACGCACCCACACACACCAACAACACACACCACCACCACACACCTCAGCTCCCATTTTCCACACCGGTCTTCCCGCGCCACTTGCTATTTCTCACTTTTTTTATATTTTAAATTTTTTTTAAACATTTTGTCAATTACCAAACGCGTTTGTAGTTTATGTTTTTCTAAAAATAAACAAAAAATAAACAAAAACCAGTTTATAAAATTTTTGTAAATATAAACTGAAAACGTAAACGTTACCAAACACGCCCTCATTATTTTTATACAATTTTTTTTGGACAAATTCTTTTTTAAAAAATTCAAAATTTTTTTTATTGATATTTACTTTTGTTAAACGAATTTATAGATTGGGGAAATTTTTACTGTACACACTTCTTAAAAAATGTGTACCGTATATCTAGTTATGTCATTTTCTTATTTAGCATAAAATTTTTTTTTTTTAATTATGACATTATTTTAGTTATGACTTATAAAATCTTTAGTTATGTCTCATATTAGATTTGGTTATGACATTTTTTTAGTTATGTCTCAAAAATTATGAAATTCAGTCATTTTTTCTTTAATTATAAAATACATAAAAAATGTTATATGCACCAATTGATATAGTAATTAGTTTATTAACAAATAATGTGACATAATTTTAAAAATTTTGAATATTTATAATTTGTATAATGAATAGGATCATAATTTTGAAGAAATAATGACATAACATATATTGGTATTGGTATATCAATTGATACATATAATACTACCAAAGTACATATGGTACATTCTTTAATTATAAGGTGCATATGTATATCATAGTTTTTCTTTATAGATTGTATTAAAAAAAAAAAGCATTGTTATTTAAAATAAAAAATTAGACTTAATTTTTAAACTTAGTGATGTGATAATTAATTAAAATATTAAAAATAACACACTTTCATATTTTTTTAATTATCAATCAATTATATTATTTATAACTTTTTAAATCTATACAATAAATTAAAAAAAAAAAATCTGTACATCATTTTCCTATAAAAAATTAAGAAATAAGCCGTAAAAAATAAATCCAAAAGACGCGTAACAAAACCGGGAACTCCCGGTCATTTTGGTCCACCGACAAACCTCCCCAGTCACCCCCATAAACCCCACGTACGTAAACATAACAGCTCATAATTATGCTCTCTCTCTCTCTCTCTCTCTCCCCCCTTTTAATTCCCTTTTTAAATCTACTGTTCCCGCACTCATAACCTGCACATAACACTAGAGATTTACAGTAAGACAGAGAGGAGAGAGAGAGAGAGTGTGTGTGTGTTTGTGCTTATATAGAGAGAGAGTGACCTCTCCTCAATAACTCTCAAGTCCAGAGAGAATCAGGCTATATTGAAAGCTGTCAATCCCCAAGATTTTTCTCTCTCTACAGCTCTGGAACACGAGCCTAGCCATTTTCAAGCTTCTTCTTCTTCGTCGATCTCAAAAAAAGCTTCTGTAAGTAAGTTCTAATCTTTCCATGTCCTTTTTACTACATAAACACCTTTACCATTCTGCTTTTTTTGTTTGTTTCATTTCTCTCCCTCATTTTGGTTTTGTTGTTGCGTTCGGTTATTTTTGGCGGTTTTGTATCGCACAATTGATAACATGAAACGCATTTCTGCTCCGATACGCTTTTTCAGTGCCAAGATCTTGTCGTTCTCTCTACAGTTTTCTCTTTCTCTGCTTCGTTTTGATCTGAATTGTCTCTCTCTCTCGCTCTCTATAGATTGTGTTTTTATGAGTTTTCAGGTTTGTAAGCTTGATTGATATTATGATTTACTTCAATAAAGTTCTGAATTTGTACTCTTTTAATGGTTGATTTTGAGGACATCGTGTTTTGTTCAGTTCACATCGAGTGTTAGGAAGAACGAGTATTGCGTTTTCTGTTCCGAATTCGAATGCACAGAATTTGAGATTTGAGATTTCTTCTCAAATTGAATTAGATGCATCTAGACTGATTCAACTCTTGGCATACACGATGTATGTACATATAATTGCATTTATATCATTATATCATATGTATGCACACTAGTATTTCATTGATGGAATATGGGGTGAGGAATCAGTTTTTGCTGCTGCTGCTTGGCCTCACCATAGTCCCTTTCTACTTAATGCTCTGTTTTATCTTCATAAGGAAATTATTTTAGGCTGATGGGATGTGGAATCGTCAATTTAATTGTATTTTGGAGTCGGAGTATGTGGCATTGACACTAAATTTAGCTGTACAAAAAAATTGTGCATGTTAATATTATATTGCATAATGACCACAGATCTGGTTGGTTTTATCACATCTGGTTGTACTGAGATGTCCGCATTGATTGATTCCGTGTCAATTATTGATGGCCTATGGTAGTTCTTTGTTCAACTATGTATATTTTCCATTTTTTGTCCAATGCTTGAACAATCATCCCTTGTGAAATTGAAGTCAATTTTTTAGGAAGTTATAGGTTTGGCTTAAGGGGTAGTAATTAAAAAAAAGATCTAATATGAGGCATAAGAGCCTTGCTATCAGGTTCCATAATCTGAAAAAAATGGCTATAATACATGTGATAGTTTGTAAAAGCACAAGTGAATAGCTATTGTTGACAATTTTATTTGGACCTTATGTCCATCGACTATTATATGATTGCATGATATTCGGTAATGTTTTTTCCATACTTATTGCTAGGGCTACAAATGAACCAAACTGTTCATGAACAAACTCAGCTCGGCTTGTTTAGTAAACAAGAGGAGTTCGAGCTCGAATATTAGGCTTGTTTAGTAAACGAGTCGAGCTCGAGCTTGCATAAGCTCGGCTCATTTATGTTTTTTTAAATTATATAATAAATATAAATACATTATTTATATGTTAAATAATATAAATAATATTTTTTATTTAAATAATATAAATAATATTTAAAAAAATTTATTGAGCCGAGCTTGAGTTCTATTAATGTTAACGAGCCGAGCCGAGCCGAGCTCGAGCACAGTTTCTTATTGAGCCAAGCTCGAGCTCAATAAATGAGCTCAATAAGGAAACGAGCCAAGCTCTAGCTCAACAAAGCTCGGCTCTGCTCGATTCGTTTGCAGCCCTATTTGTACCCACATATGTTCCAATGTTATACTATGAGATTGTTTGGTGAGCTAGTGGTTGCTCACCCCCTACTTGTACATGTGTACAAGGAATGTTTTCGGATTTGAGGATAACTTAATAAATGAGCTTGATTATATTGAGCCGAGCTCGAACTTAATAAATGAGCTTGATTAGTAAACGAGCCGAGCTCGGCTCGGTTTGTTTGCAACCCTACTTATTACTTACTCATGATCCTTATTACTTACTTACCCATCGACTATTATAGAGATATCCTCATTTTTTATTCTTCTCAACATATTACTTACTCATGATCCTTATTACTTACTTACCCATCGACTATTATAGAGATATCCTCATTTTTTATTCTTCTCAACAAATTCAAACCATGCTCTGAGTTTCCAACCCCTACTATGGAAGCAAGCCCATTAAAGTGAATTGAGTCCCAATAATGTTTATGACTTGAATCTATCAGTTTTGTTGGTCAATGATTATTGTCAGAATCATCTATTTAGTTTTGGGCTAGCACTAGAATGCTGAGGATTTAGGGTTTCAAGGAGTATCTGTATACATCCTTTCTGGCTTACAAGCCTATTGGGTCTCTTAGTGTATTTTTTAATTTACCTAATGGAAGCCCTCTAATTGCCACTTATGTTGTGATTATGGTCTGATCTGCATGAATATTTATTGATGTCCTCTTCATGACTATTTTTAAACAGGTTTTTCTACAAATGTTTGAGGTGCTAGTAATACCTGTATTTATGTTTGCATTGCAATATACCAATACTAGGTTTGGTATTTAATCTTGATTCATACCATTGCCATTTAAATGGTGCTCAGCTGTCTGCCCTTTATACAGCTTATCCTACTTACTAGGGAATGTTAAATGATTAACTTTTTGTGAACTTTTGTGTTCCTGTTTTAATTGGTTCATAATAGCCTCCTGTTGTTGATCGTAAGTGCTGTTTTATTTCAGATTTATGAAAGACAAATAGGCATCTGAGTGGGGGTGATTGTTCTGACTGTTTGCATGAGGCTGTTGCCTCATGGTGAATAGATTGTCATATGCATTTATCATTGCCCTCTCCTTGAAGAGATTTTGAAGGGTTCCTGATTGTTGCTTTTCTCCATCATCACAGCTGCTTCTTTCATTGCTGTTGAAAAAGGTGAAATTTTTTTAGAATGAAGGAGATTGGCAAGAAGACAAGTCCAAACAGTAATAAAACAAAACGTTCTGGAAGATCTGAAAGAAGAGATCACAAACTTTCACAAGATAACGGCTGCAAAAATTTGACAGCAAAAGAAACTGTATCTAAAATTTCATATTCTAAACCAGAGTCCAATGTATCAGTAATTGATTCCAACGCTGGAACAAAACCATCTGAAGTTTATGAAAATATGGTTATACATTATGTGGATGATGTCAACAGGTTGAAGGAGGCATCTCAAGATTCAAAAACCCATGAAATGGTTGACAAAGAGAATACGGATGAAATGAACGGTCATTCTAGCGACGTGCAGAAAGAACAGAAGCAAGGGAATGAAGAAGAATCAGATTCTGAGACAATAAAAGATTCGGTATCATCTCAAGGGGATTCACAAACAGCTGAGGATGAGAAAGTAGAATGCCCTTCAACAGTTCCTAAAAAGCTTGTGAAAAAGGATTCTGCTGACAGCCGGTCCCATGCTTCCAGAGTGAAATCTGATCGAGGAACCAATAATTTGAAGATTAATGCATCACATGACAGTCCAAAGAAAGGTACAAAATCCAATAAAGGGCCTTCTAACACAACCAGCAAAATTATATCTGATGAATACGTAAAACATATGAAGGTTCATCCTAAACCTTCATCTGAATCATCTGAAGGTGTTGATGAGAAGCCTCTTGAGGATGTAAAGGAGGTGGAGATATTAGATGAGACCTCAAATGGTACTCAGAGTCTTGGAAGTGATGATGAAGCAGTCAATGCTGAGGAAAACGGTGACCATGAAGATCAGGCAGCTTTAAGCCAAAAGATCGAAGAAATGGAAAAAAGGATTGGAAAACTTGAAGAGGAGCTGAGAGAAGTTGCTGCTCTTGAAATTTCACTCTATTCTGTTGTACCAGAGCATGGTAGCTCAGCACATAAGGTGCACACGCCTGCTCGGCGTCTTTCTAGACTCTACATTCATGCTTGCAAACACTGGTCTCAAGACAAGCGGGCCACGGTTGCAAGAAACACAGCGTCAGGGCTTGTTTTGGTCGCCAAGTCATGCAGCAATGATGTCCCAAGGTATATAAAAAATTAAAAATGTTTCACATCAGAGGATTTTAGAACCTGTTTTCATTTACTTCAGACTAATAAATCTTTCCTTTGTTGATTAAGGTTAACTTTCTGGTTGTCAAACACTGTGGTACTGAGGGAAATTGTCTCTCAAGCTTTTGGCAATTCATGCAACTCAAGTTCAATTTCAAGGATTTGTGTGTTAAACGGAGGAGGAAAGAAAAGTGAAGGGAAGTCTCCTTCACTAAAATGGAAAGCTCAATCTGGAAATAGACAGACAAGCAAACATGATTTTTTGCAGTTCATTGATGATTGGCAAGAGACAAGAACATTAACAGCTTCACTAGAGAGAGTTGAATCCTGGATTTTCTCTAGGATAGTTGAGTCAATATGGTGGCAGGTGAAAACTTGATTGTCTTTTTTGTTAGAGATTTTGAGATTCGACGCGTACAATGATGATATAATTTCTCAACTGAACCAATCAAGTAATCTATTTACATTTTATTTTTTGCTGGGTAAAATTGACTTTGGCCCATGACATTGTGATAGAAATGCAACATATCTATGGTTAACTGATAAAATCTTGAGCCTTAATTACTCCTCTTTTTTTTGTTGTTGCGTGTGTGTAAAAACAAAATAGAATTTCAATCTAATTTTTTAGTTAATGAATGAGTTCCCCTTTTATATACAACATTTTTAGTTAGGTGACATTGATGTGCTTTCCTCTCTTATGCTAACTAGCTTATTGTGGTTCCAGACCTTGACCCCTCATATGCAATCTCCAGTTGAGGATTTGAATATCACTAAAACCATTGGAAGGTTATGTGGACCTGCCTTGGGAGACCAGCAACAAGGCAACTTTTCGATTGACCATTGGAAAAATGCTTTCGAAGATGCTTTCAAAGGACTTTGTCCAGTTCGAGCAGGAGGGCACGAATGTGGTTGCTTGCCTTTGTTGGCAAGAATGGTATGTAATTTTAAATATGTTTGCTCTCCATCTGTAAGCGTCATTTTCTTTGCTTTATGGAAAATGAGGTCAATCTTCAAATTTTCCATGTTTCATTTCTTTCAGCATTAACTGACCTATTTCAGTATTTATTGCTTCATTTGTTTAATTAGAACTTATATCTGTGTTCAGGTGATGGAACAATGTATTGCCAGACTAGATGTGGCCATGTTCAATGCTATTCTGCGTGAGTCAGCCCATGAGATCCCAACTGATCCTGTATCAGATCCTATAGTCGATTCCAAGGTTTTGCCTATTCCAGCGGGCAATTTGAGTTTTGGATCTGGTGCACAACTCAAAAATTCTGTATGTATCATTTTTCTTCACTTCTGACCAAGAAGCAAAGAAAATATTCATTTCAATATCAGTCAGCTTTGTGGGGTTTGTTTTGCCTAGTTGCTATTGACTATTTGATCCCTGTATAGTCTAGCCCTATAAACTGCCAGAGGAATTCTAGGAAAATCATTTTTTGGGGCTACATTTAAGTGATTTTTCTTGCAGCATAATAACAACTATTTAATTAAACAAGCTCCTGCAGTGTCTTCTATTGTCCCTTTTTAAATATTTATGCAATTATTGGGGTGTCTATTCTATCATTTTGTCAAACATGAAGAGAAGTATGAATAACATGATCTGCTACCATTGTTAATTGACCTCATCACTTTGTTCTGGAGTAGCTAGGAAAATATTGGCATCATCCACATGGGGATCTAGTCAGGCCACTTGTGGGATCTCATATTGTCAAGCTAACATGTGGAAATTGAGCATTTTTATATTACAAACAATCTTTTACACAAATATACTCATATATACCCACATGTACGACATACCTTTAGTTCACATGCACCATGCCACTAGATCCTTTGTGCCTAAACATCCATGAGAACAGAATTGGCATTTCAAATTGAACATTAAATGTGGACAAAATAATCTCTCTCTCTCTCTCTAAATGGTGAGGAACCCCTTACTTTAATAGGAATCCTTGTGGGATAAACCCTCAATCCATAGGTATCAGGTAAGAATGAGTGTTGCTAGCGGGACTCAAACACCAGACTTCCGGGTTGTCCATGGCAACCTTAAACCACTGTTACCCTAGGGGGTTGACAAAATATCTCATTCTTATGAGGACTTCCTACGTGATATGTGTCACATGTTCAAATGGTATTGCTACATTGTTACTTTTGTCATGTATATGATTATGCTTAATATACTTTGTGCAGGTTGGTAATTGGTCTAGATGTCTTACTGAACTGTTTGGCATGGACGTGGATGATTCACCTAGGGAAGATCAACGCAGCAATGAGGATGATGACACACCCGGTGAAGATACTGAAAAAAAACATTTTCATCTTCTTAATGCCCTGAGTGATCTTTTGATGCTTCCGAAAGACATGCTTCTGGACCGATCAATCAGGACGGAGGTTGACCTCATAATTTTCAGCACATTCATGTTCGAGATACTCAGAATTCATGTTCTCTTGTGATATCTGAAATATTTTTATCTAATTATGCGTTGTAGGTTTGCCCATCTATTACTCTTCCATTGGTTAAACGGATACTCTGCAACTTTACTCCAGATGAGTTCTGCCCAGATCCGGTCCCAGGTGCTGTTTTGGAGGCATTAAATGCCGAGGTATGGTTTTTTTGATGTCTTGAATCTCATTCGCCTCTACCTTTCAATAAAATATGTGAAACTCCTCTACAAGACTACTCCAAAAATAAAAATTTGATGGTTTCTTTTTTCTTTTCTCTACAAGACTACTCCAAAAATAAAAATTTGATGGTTTCTTTTTTCTTTTTTGAAAAGTTCATTGGTTTTGTTTCTAAAACCACGAAAAATGAGAACACATAAAACCAAAAAAGCTTAATATTTTGAGGTTTATGCTTCGGATCTAACAGTAGGTTGTTCATACTGCCTAAATCTCATTATATCTGAGTAACAAATGAAGACAAATGACTAGTTAAATGGCCCTGCAGATGTAAACTTCACCATGTAAAACACTACCACTCAAAAGGGTTCAAGATTTGTTGATTGGGGGGGGGAATGCCATAATAAACGTTTGATACCTATTTTTCTGTTTGTTCAGTGTATCATAGAGCGGAGATTATCTTGTTTCTAAAACCACGAAAAATGAGAACACATAAAACCAAAAAAGCTTAATATTTTGAGGTTTATGCTTCTGATCGAACAGTAGGTTGTTCATACTGCCTAAATCTCATTATATCTGAGTAACAAATGAAGACAAATGACTAGTTAAATGGCCCTGCAGATGTAAACTTCACCATGTAAAACACTACCACTCAAAAGGGTTCAAGATTTGTTGATTGGGGGGGGGAATGCCATAATAAACGTTTGATACCTATTTTTCTGTTTGTTCAGTGTATCATAGAGCGGAGATTATCTGGTGGAGACTCTGCCAGCAGCTTCCCTTATAATGCTGCCCCGGTTGTCTACACCCCTCCTTCCCCTGCCAACGTGGCGGAGAAAGTTGCAGAGGCAGGAGAGAAATCTCAGCTGGCTAGGAATGCATCTGTTGTACAGAGGAAGGGATATACCAGTGATGAAGAACTGGAGGAGCTCGATTCTCCTCTGGCATCCATCATTGACAAATTACCGCCATCTCCAACTGTTAGGGCGAATCAAAATGGAAAGAGCAAGGACCAAACGAGTAATGTTGGTGCAAATGCAAGGTACGAACTCCTTCGTGAAGTTTGGTTAGCGTGAATCCTACCATATGGTGACTCAGTGCACGACTCTCCCCTGTAGTCTTACCCCATCTCCACAGAGGCTGTCTCCGTGACTTGAAGCCGTAAGTTTTATTATGTATAGCCGTGTTTTTTGTGTAAGAAAAATGAATATGAAGTAAATAGGAAGCAAAGTGAGAGGTTGGTTTTCAAGATATCCTCAAATGTGTCCATAGGAGTGTGAGTGAATGAGTTTGTTATTGTGTTACAATACAGAAGCTCCACTGCATTTAATAGACATTTTTCTCAGTTTTTAAGAGTCTATCTCTTTCTTGGAAAGACATATACATAATGTATTCACAATTGAACCATTTGGGACCTAAATTTGCATTTTGGTTCTTGTTTTTGTTTTTGGTATGAATCAAATTTGAATTGTATTCTAATTTTGGCATTAACAAATAATATAGGTGTTTGAGAAGTTGTTATTTTAGTAGGCTTTTTTAGTTTTTGATTATTTTTGGAGAAAAAATTTTTTGTGTTTGAGAAGATAGTTGAATGTGATATTTGCGAGATAAAAAGTGAAATGATTATGGGTTTGATATGATATTTTGTCTGGATTTATTTTTTTGGTTTTTTGACCTATTTTGTTTTTTAACAAAAAACTAACAAAAAAACAAAAAAAACCTCTTTCCAAACACCGCCAATGTAAAGAAATAATAGAGCTTACTATAATTTTGTGGAGGAGAGACGACGATTACATTGGTTGTTAAGCAGAATTTGAGATTTTAAACTAGATTAAATCACACTACATTATTGAGACACTGTTCTTACGGTTTTATAAAGTTAGGAATCAAATCATACTAAATTATCGAGGCACTGTTCTTACAGTTTTATAAAATTTGGAATCAAATCATACTAAATTATTGAGACACTGTTCTGTTAAGTTTGAAACTAAGGTTTATGACAACTTGTCACCATTCAAACCGGCAAAAACCCTGTATTTACTATTATTATTATCAAAATCCCCAAAACAAATTACAGTAAGGAAATAAGAAAAACATTTCCAAACATATATTTTTGCTTTCCAATTCAACCCACCCTGGGGACACACTATCCCCAAACAAAAAGGATACTCCAAAAGAGCCATGTGAAATCAAGTAATGCATATACAAAAACTGCAAGTATTTGAATGCTTGTGGGTAGAAAATTCAGACTGGAACTGAGAACTCATCAGAAGCAGAGAACTTTACATTTGGAAAGCCGGTCCTTGAGTCAAGGGACTGAAGTGCTCTCACTACTTCCGCCATCGGTGGCCGTTTCTCTGGCACCACAGAAGTGCAACGGAGAGCGATTTCCAGAGTTCCCAACATCTCTTGTTGAGAAGATCTTGATATCTTGGGGTCGAGAACTTGCAATGCCCCATTTGATATATTTATTTTTCTCCTAACCCATTTCACGACATCAATAGAGGAGTTTTCGGATTCTGTTTGCTCTGCTTTCCGGCCTGTAACGAGCTCAAACAAGACTACACCAAAGCTGAATGTGTCCATTTGTTCAGAGGCCTTTTTATTGTATCCATGTTCTGCAATCAATCAACATTTGAAAAGATGTTTTTAAGTAGAATCATTATAACTCTTTGTTGCTCCAAACTCACCCTAATAGAACACACTGAAAAATTATAGAAGGATATCTATTTCAGCATTAGATTTACCATTTCTGTGATGCCTTAATTGTATTTAAACATTATAACGACATAACCTGCTTTTTAAAGGACAGTTAAGAATGTTGTCTTAAATTTTAGAGACTAATCAAAGTATAAAACAACAATTGAATAGTAAATTAAGAAATTTATCGTAAAACAGAAATTACCTGGCGCCAAGTAACACGAAAATGTAGATTCTGATGCCAAGGATGACTGAAATGCAGCTTCTCCCATGATCCGATCAAGCCCGAAATCCATGAGTTTTGGCTCAAAGTCCACATCTAGTAAAATATTATTTGATTTCACATTTCTATGAAGTATATGTGGAACGTAATCCTTGTGAAGGTATGCTAATCCTTGAGCTACTCCAATGGCAATCCTCAACCTATCACCCCATTGCAGCCTAAAATCTGGGCTGCAAATCAAATCCCCGAGGCTCCCCTTCTGTAAATATTCGTAAATCAGAAAGATTGAATCGTCAGAATGGCAAAAACCAAGAATCTTAATGACGTTCTTATGCCTGATTTTCGCTAATGTCTTGATCTCCGCCTTGAGAGCTTTCGAAGATTGAGTTCCAAAATTGACTATCTTCTTGACAGCAACAAGTTCACCACTTGGTAATTTCACAATGTGAACTCTACCAAAAACTCCAAATCCAATAGCACTCTTTTCATCCATTGCCGCCATCAAATCATGCTCGGTGACTCTAAGAGGGTAAAAGAAAACCGAACGCCAAATACCCGTTTCAGATCTTTTCTTGGAAGATCGAACAAAGTAAAACCCGATAACAAGAACCAGAATTCCAACTGCTAGAGCTAAAAAGATTAGGGCACATGCAAATTTTGATAGACCAACCATCTTGGGACTCGGCTCACCATCAGAGCATGAATTGGGCAATCCTGGGCCACATAGGCCTGGATTTCCTTGTAAAAACGAGGCTGGAAGCCCGGAGATAAGGGAGGACGGAACACTACCCGATAACCGGTTGAAAGATACATTGAAGAGAGCAAGCTTTAGGTTTTCAAGCTCTAGAGGGATTGGACCAGTGAGATTATTATTTGAAAGGTCAAGGTAAGTTAGCACTGGCAATTCAGAAAGTGATATTGGTATTTCACCAACAAGACTGTTATCTGCCAAGGACAAGGAGACTAGTTTCCCGCATTTTCTAGGCTCCGGTATTCGACCAGAAAGCGAATTGTGGGAGAGATTTATGATGCTCATGGCGGGCGAATCGCAAAAATTAGGAGGAATTTCACCATAGAAACCATTAAGTGATGCAGAGAATCTATACAAACTCCTAACCAACCCAAAACCCTGAGGAATCGTACCCGTAAAGCTGTTGTTATCTATCTGAACCTGCTCCAATTGAGCAGCTATGGATATTGATTCCGGTATTTCGCCGGAGAACCCATTGTTTTCAGCTCTGATAAGCTTAATCTTGGGCAATGACCACAACCCATTTGGAAAATCCCCAAAAAACCCATTGTTCTGAACTTGGAACCTCTCAAGATTCCAGCATTCATTAATGGAGTTATTGGATATTGAACCATTGAATAAATTTGTATGGAGACTAAGGTTTATGAGTCCTTTAGCATTACTACAAATGCCATTTGGGAATGACCCAAAAAGTATGTTCTGTGAAACATCAAAAGACACCAAGTTTGTGAGAGACAATCCTAGCTTTTGAGGTACCAAACCAGTTAGATTGTTCTGTGAAAGGTCTAAAATGGCCAAACCAAGCAAACCCACAAAGGATTCAGGGATTGAACCATGAAATCCAGAGCTTTGCAACAAAAGATTCTCAAGATTTTCAAGATTCCCAATCCCAGTTGGAATCTCACTGTCCAAGAAAGAGTTTTGAGACAAATCAAGCAATCTGAGCTCAGTGAAATTACCAAAAACCTCAGGAACACTACCTGAAAGCAAGTTGTTGGCCAAGTTGAGCTCTCTGAGGTTCTTCAAAGCCCCAATGCTTTCTGGGATTTTCCCTTCAACATGGTTTCCACTCAAATCAAGCATTTTCAATGACCCAAACTGAGAAATCTGATCTGGGATTGGACCCCAAATGAGATTGTTGCTGAGATTCAGAGTCTCCAGAGACCTACATTGTGAGAGATGGAGAGGGATGGCTAGGTTGAAGAGGTTGCCAGCAAGGTTAAGTATTTGGAGATTGGGGAGGGAACAGACAGAAGATGAGATTTCACCAGAGAGGTTTAGGGTTTGGAGATTGAGAGAAGAGACTGAGAGAGGGAGTGAAGTTGTGCAGGTGAGTCCAGTCCAGTTGCAGTAATGGGAGGAAGAAGTGTGGGACCAGCTTGAGAGATAGTTCATGGGATCCTTAATGGAGGCCTTGAAGGTAAGAAGGATGTCTGGTTCAGATGAAGCAGAGGTGAGAGAGAAGAACAAGAAGGTGAGAGAGAGAAAGAGGCCAAAATTAGCAATTGCGAGAAAATTTAAAAGTTATACTTGGTAGGTAAATGCTGATTTCAGGAAAAATAAGAGAATAAGGATCATTGGTAATTTATTATTTGTCATTTTAATTTTATTATTCAACTTTTTTTTATTTAAACAAATTTTTCTCGATAGAGTTTCGTAAAAAATTATTATTATTACTATTATATGGCTTACTAAAAAAATGTAATTAGTAAAAAATAATAATAATAATTATTGAGTTTCACATAATATATGATATCATCTAATATATGGCAAATTAAAATTATGAAACTCTTAGAAAATAATAATGTATTTATATTTTATTATAGGTGTAGTTTTTTTTCTTAAAAATAAAAATTAAAAAGTACAATTTTATAATTTATTATAATTTGTACTAATTACATTATGATTCATGTTATTATTATTTAGAACTCAAAACATAGCATTAATGGTAGGAGGGGGAAAAAAA